AGCAGAGCAATATGTACTTTGTGACTGGCGTGGAAGTGTGTAACACAACGATCGGTGATCCCTCAGTTCGTAATACGAGTTTTGATTGACACTCATATGCACCGGGAACATCTTTCATACTTGTCACCAAGAGATATTCTCAATGCACGAGGGTGTTCGATGCAAATTCTTGTAAAATAATTATCAAAGCTTAGTTAATTAATCCTTTCCTCGAAAAAACCTGCGATTCCGGTTCATACCGGTTCATGGGACTCAATACGTGAAGCATCAAAAAGTTCCAAATTAGGGAAGCCATATTTCAAAGAAGTTAAGCTCCTTTTTTGGTATTCAGTGCAATGCACCATTAATAATTTCCTCCTAACTATTTTTTCTTTGAAGTGCTGGTTGTGGGATTTGATTCTGTATCAATTTTGGAACAAACCAGCTAACACACCAATGAGTCAGCCCTTGATTGGTCAAGCTCCTTCAATTCCCAAATCCCCATCATTGATTTTATTTTTATGGGAAGGTTGGCTGACCAAAAACAGCCTCAAATATATGTTATATTCCCATCTGTATTGATCAATCTAAAAACTTTTCAGGTAGAAACAACAATATTATATATATATATATAAAATAAAAAAAAATTCTTTAGGTTGTATTTTGAACCATTGCTATTTTTACTTGAAACATTTTGGATTACTAGTAAGCATGTACGTGCTTTGCACGTGGTAATTCTAGGTGATGATAATGATAGTAATAATGTATCCAAAATTTTCTATAAATATGTATTTTTATTTTGTTTGTTTTTATATGTTCTTTTTGCTTTTTATTATTAATCGGATGCATATTGCAAAATCAAAATCTTATTACATAAATACATCATCTAAATATGTGATAATCGGATCGAGTTGTGAAGTTTTAAGTATCATTGATAGGTCTATCTGCTTGGTTAAATTTTTATTTTTATAATATTTTATCTTTTTTTACTATAAAAATGTAAGATTTAAATAAAGAAAATTGAATGAGGTAAAATTAATAGTTCAATTTACAATTTAAACCTTACAATTAAATAGGGATTAAATTAAAAAATGAGTATTTTAGTTAAAAGAATGTTCCATAATCTTATTTATATTTTTAATAGTAGTGTAAATATAGAATTATAGATGTGTTCATTTTTTATAATTCTTTTATATTTATGTGTAAAAATAATTCCGATATGTAACACTTAACTTTGTTTAATATGATAATTAATTAATATTAAACATGTTTCTAAATGTTTTTTGGTCAGTTCTAATGCATGTATTTCATTTTATTATCAATAAAAATAATTTTATTTATTACACTTATTTTTTAATTTGATTATTAAAAGTATCATAAATGTGTCTAATTTTTTATATATTTTTGTAATTTTTATATTTATTTCTATTTTAAAAATTGTATTACCTAATTATGACTTCATAGGTTTATCAATTTGATTTGGATGATTGAATTGCTTAGCCACCACTTTGATAAATAATGCTTTTATTTTTTAGCTAGTTTTGAAATATATGTGTTCATATCGTTAAAATATTAACATAGATCTAATTAGTACTAGTTATTGGTAAAAAATAACTTAAATATAAGATTTAATAGGAGAAATGGGAGTTAATACCTTTAAGTATAAGACTTAATAAAAGGGAATTAAATGAGGTGGAAAGTAATAATTGAATTTACATTTTCAACCCTTATAATTAGAGGTGTAATAAATAAAAAAATATGGGCATTTTAGTAACTATCAAAAGTTGGCAATAAATCTGTAATAAAATGACTTTCTTGTCCTTTATCAAACAAAGAAATAGAGAGTAATTTTAGTTCAAAAAAACTTCCACTTGCATCTACACTTTTATATATAGTATAGGTCATTTTTCTTTTGTTCATTAAAAATGTAATATTTAAATAAAGGGAATTGAATGAGGTGAAAAGTAGTTTAATTTACAATTTAAACCTTACCATTAAATCATCGGTTTCATTTTGGCCCCAAATTACTATTTTTACAAAAAAAGGTTGAAATGGTCAAAGAACTGTTGATCCGAATGGTTTAACCATTAACGTTCAACCTGGTTACTAGTTCTTGGGTTGCTTTCAAACTAATTCCAAAATTTTTATTTATTTAAAAAAAAGAAATTAGAAAATAAAAAAATTGGTAAAAGAAACTTTCATATCTCAAAATCTTGTTCGATTATTCCTAATAACCAAAATTAGTTAGGGTTTTTAGTTATTTTATTTTGATTTTGAGTTTTCTCATTTATGCAATTATTTTTAAATTGTAATAACAAAAAAAGTACAACTACAATGAAGAAATTGAAAAATCGATACAAGAGATAAGAGATTAAACACCAATCTTTTATTAAAATCTGAGATACACCAATGAAGCAAATGATTTGGGAGTTGAAAGAGATTTAGAGAGATGAGAAATATGTAAAAAGTGGGCAAGCAATGTTGTAGCAGCGGCATTGATGAACAAGGAGATAGCCATCACTGAAGATTCCTTCTTCTTTTTCTTAGGGCAAATATTTCTGCAATAATTCTCGATGAATATGGTGACAACCACCTCCGGAAATGCTTCATTATCTTCTTCTTCCCTTTCTTTTTTCTCCTTCTCAACTTTAATCAGCTACCTCCTTTTCAAAGTCTAACACTCCCTCTTATAATAATGTAAATATATAGTAGGCTTTAACCTAATCCTAACCTAATGGTCAAAATAAAAAGTTACATTATATTTTATATCTTACCGGTTTAACCCATTCAAAATGAATGGTTGAACGACTAACTTGGAAATCGGAAACCAAAGCGGTTTTATTTCTCGGTTGGTATTTATAACCTTGATTTTAGTCAAAAGAAAGTTTCATAATCTTATTTATATTTTGAACAATAGTGTAAATATAAAATTTTATATGTGTTCAAAATTTTCTATAATCTTTTTTGTATTTTTGTGTATAAAAAAATTCTAATATGTCACATTTACTTTTTGTTTAATATGATAAATACATGATATTATACATGTGTTAGAATGTTTTTTTACAAAATTTATGTATTTTTATATTTTATTAATTTTTATTATTTATTTAGGACATTAAAGGTTAACACATTTAACCCAAAAGTTGAACTATTTATTATTAATTTTTATATTTCATTTTTCGTTAGTTCTAAATTATGAATTTCATTTTCATTATGAATAAAAATAATTCTTGTTTATTATTAAAGGGAAAGTTGGGTTTTGAAGAAAATTTATACATCACGTGGTGTCATGTGTGTATGAATTTCGATGGAACATTAACGAATATTAACGGCAGAGATAGAGCTAGTCAATTGTTAGAAAACTTAAGGGTACTGCAAGACAATATCTAAATAGTAAAGGTACAACTTGTCAATTTCGTTAACAGTAGGGATAGTTTAAGAGATTTACCCTTTTTTAATTTGATTGAAAAAAAATATCATTAATGTGTCTAATTTTTTTGTAATTTTCTATATTTATTTATATTTAAAAAAAAATTATTATCTAACTATGATTTCATAAGTTAACCAATTTGATTTGGATGGTTGAATTTCTTAGCCACCACTTGAATAATGAATGGTTTTGTTTTTGAGTCAGTTTTAACATATTTGGGTTTATATTAAAAATATTGACATAGATCTAATTAATAGCATTTATTAGTGAAAAATAACTTAAAATATAGGATTTAATAAGAAAAAATGAGATTTAATACCTTACCTATAAGACTTAATGAGAGGGGATTAAATGAGGTGAAAAGTAATAATTGAAGTTACATTTTCAACTCTTACAATTAGAGATGAATTAAATACACAAATAAGGTCATTATAGTAGCCATTAAAACTAGCATTAAAGCTATAATAAAATGACTTTTACCCTTTTTAAAATAAAGAAATGAAGGATAATTTTAGTCCAAAAAAAGTTTCACACTACATCTACACTTTTATATATAATATAGATTTAATAATAGTTGGCATAGAATTGTTATTTGAAACTATTTATGATTGAAACAGGCATATCTAAAAAATGCATTGAAATAGAAGATTGGATTGGATTGGCTATACACTAAAAACCATAATTCATAAAAAATTGGCCAAAACTGTCTGAACGGTTGGTTTAATCAAAATGTTGATAATAACACTTGAACTCAAAACCTCTTATTCATATATATAATCTTATTACCATGGATCCATTTTTTTTATTTGCATTCATTTGTTCATTTTTACTCTATTTATTATTTTAATACACATGTATTAAAATATGAATTAAGAGACTTGAACCATATGCAAATATAATACTATTTGTTAAATATTTAATATATAGTATTTATTTGAATTATAGTATATATATATATATATATTCCACGTTATCATGATTCAACATCAAGTTTCACCATGATTGAATCTCTGACCCATAAACTTTTTCTTTTTCCGATTCTATTATTCTATTATTCTATTATTCTATATCTATATCTGATCCAATTCTCTAAACATTGAGTATATATGAAATAACTCCCACATGTGATGTAACAATATATATCTCGCACCCATTTGTATTAATCAACCCAAAAGTTTCAAACACAACGTAGTTGTTGCTCGTTTCTTGGTTTTTCCGTTAAACCACATATATGACATCAGATAAAAGAGACCGTAAGATGGGAATTCGCATCTAACATTGCCTTGGTTTTGAGGCCCATTCTAGCCATCGGCCGGTTCACTGACCCGGTCCATGCAGGATTTTCCAGCCTTAGGCCCTTGCCATTTACAAGACCTGGATCGGTTGGTTCTCTGACCCGGAATCCTTGGCCGGGATCGGGAGGGAAGCTGCAAGCTGGACTTTGATTTGATAAAAATGGAACGGTCCAACTGAAGGGTGTTTTGGCCTGTTGGGTATTTACCGAATTACTGGCGTAAAACTATAAAAAGGATCAACCGCGCTTCGAAAAACGGAAAAAAATTCAAAAAATCGATTTCGATCTGCCCGCCATTCCCGCGCGCGCGCGCGAGAGAGAGAGATTCTACGTTCGCTTGTCCGAAACATGGGAGCATTTCCATGCCTGCGCGAACGTAAGGCTGCAACTGCTCTCCTCCTTCTCTCCTCCTCCTCCTCCTCCTCCTCCTCCAACAACTCTTCCTCTCTGTCTTCAAATTACTCTTCAAGGTAATTCACTCCACTGGAATTCCTCCTATGATTTTTATGAATTTCTCATCTCGCTTTCTTCTTCTTCTTCTTCCGTCTCCTCCGCGTCCTGATTAAGCTTATCATCTGTTCCACTGTTTTACTTTTATCTTCTCTTTAGGTGCCTCTCCAATGAGTCCTACTCAAACAACTATACCATCAGTTCAGATGGCAAGGAGGAATCGTCTCCAAGCGGTTCGAATTCGAAGTCGTGCTCTTCATCTCTCACGAATGAAGGATCTTCTGAAAGAAATGAACAGTTTCCGCTTAGAGTTCTCGCAGCTGCAGCTCGGTGTCATGAAATCAAGCTCAAGGTGATCAGATCCGTTTCATGGCTCACTTGTTTCGTTTAGGCTTAATTTTGTATTATCTGTCCGTAACTGCTTGGAGTTTAAGATCCGATCTTCGACTTTGAACCTTATAATTTAGTTAGTTTCATTCTTTCCGCTTCAGATCGACGTGCTTTTTGAATTTAAATTACTTGAAGCGAATCGTAATCTGCAGATCTGAATACATTTTTCATATATAAACCAGTTATGGATTTCGGTTAGTAGGATGGTCTTTCAAGTTTCGAATCCTCCCTACCTTCATTTCACCTACTTATTGTTCTGGTTTATGCCTGCTTTGAAATCTTTCCGAGTAATTCCGTAGGATCAGTTCTTCTCTGCTTGATTTGAATTCCGATTGCTCTATATACCGATCTAATATTTCGGAATGGTTTGCTATTTTAACTAATTCTGAGCGTCCTTCAGATGATTTATAAAGAGTTTTACGTAAATTTAATTATTAAATAATCTGTTTAACTACTTCGTATCTCTGTATATCATTTTAAGCTTCTTCTAATAGTCCAAACCTATCAAACAGTTCAATATTCTGGGATCTCACGCTCAACAGATTCATCTAGAGTTCTAGAGTAGTTTTCTGATCTGATCCTGCGCAGGCCGTGAGAAGACGACGTTCGAAGAACTACAAGAAGACCGACAGCAAAAAAATGATCTCCGGCGTATGGGAAAAACCTGTAATTCTAGCTCCAGCAACTGTGTCAGAAGTTACAGAGGTTTCGTCTCTCTCGAGTGCATCCAGCAGCGTAGCTTCAGCCCTACCAAACCACCGTCTAATAAGACTTGGGAAGAAGTTATCACTGATTCAGGAACGTGGTGAAGAGCGTAGAAGACAGAAAATCAGTTCGGGTTGCCTCCGGCGCCGAGCGGAGGCCATCATGAAGTTTCTTTCTGTTGGTTGCGCTTCTGAGGTTCGGATTCGCCAAGCGCTCGGAGACAGCCCTGATACCAGTAAAGCTCTTAGAATGTGAGCCCTCTCTCTCTCTCTCTCGTCCTGCTCGATCACTCTACTCTAGTCTTTAGAACTTGACACGTTGCATGTGGCGTGTGGTTTGCGGCATGCACGCTTGTCGTCGAGTGTTCTAACTTCTAAAGTGCGCCATCGGAGCGTAATGCGCACTGATCCTAAGAAGTTATGATCACGATAATAGTTCATGGTTGGCGATGGTGACTTATTATGCGGTATGCCTTGTGCGTGACAGACGGTAACCTATCCCAATAAGGTACAACAGGGGTCGGTCCAATTCTTTGGCCATGATCTGTGAATAATGTCATCACCGTTAGATCAAAATCGGACAGTGATGTTATCTCTTTTGTTGTTAATCCAATAATCCATATCGTACATCTTCTCATGATGTCGACGATCATCTGGCATGCAGGTTGGTAAAGCTGGAAGAAATTAAGCGATCAGGTGCAGGTGGTCGTACGGACCCATACATCTACACGGTAATGTTATCACGTCTAATTTATTCTTCAAGAAGGGTATTTACGTAATTTGATCAATCAGTATTAGCACTGCAACTTGGGGAGGCCCCAATTGGCCTATCCGGGCTTCTGCACGGGCTGGTATGATACTTTGGGCTTTGGGCTGGGCTTGGGCCTTGATCTAAACAGGTTGGTTTGGTTGAGGCGTAGTCTGAGCCAAATTCAACTTGGCTGATCTAACCTAAGTCTGTTTAAACAAATAGATAGATGTATTTATTAATGAAAGTTATACATATTTTAAGTTTATTCTGCTTCTAAATTAGATTATGAATGACTTCAAAAATATGTTCATAAATTCTTTTATAGCTAAACAACCTCTTTAGGTTTAACCAAGCCCAACCCAATCCAACCCGAGTCCAATCCCAGTTCAAATTGTCTTGGGTTATGTTCCGATTGGCCTGGATTGATAAATTTGGACTTCACCTCAAATCATCCAGGCCAGATTCAAGCCCAAGATTTGCATCTTAGGCTGTGTTTGGTAGCAGTGCAAATTTATTTGTACTGATGCAAAATTATGGCAGTGTAAATGTTTTGGGTGTAAATTTTGATTTATTTTTGTTTTGAATTTTACCTTACTTTGTTTAGTTGTAGTACAGATGAAGTAAAATAAGACCTAAAACAAAATAAAGTAAAATCCAAAATAAAAATTAAACCAAATATTATATATTTTTTTCATTTACACTCCCATGCAGTTGTACTAGTGCAAATAAAATTGTACTACAACCAAACACAGCCTTAGGGTTAGGCCTAAGTTGACCCCTCAATCAGATCCAACCCTTGCACTCCTGATCAGTATATGTCGCCACCATCGAGTCCGTGGTGTCAAAACTTTATGCTGAAAGTTGATAACAGCCATTTGGTCTGTTGAATTCAAAGATAGTTGAATAGAAGACTTTAGTCGTATCTGCATGACAAAGATTCACAACTACCTTTTCCTTCTTTTTTTTACCTTTTTCCTTCCAACCAAACACGGCCTAAACGATTATTTTGAAAAAAATTCCTTTAATATATGTTCTGATGATTGATGAACATGAAATTTTCACAGGTGGCAGATGCAGCAGTATCCAGGAGCGATGTAGACTCGGATTGACCGAGTCTTCACGTAAGTTGAAAGTTTTGGGGCCTACTCAAGAAAGGTAATAGAATAAGGGGTCATAGGTAACAAACCTGACTAACACAATGGGCCAATTGTTAATTGATTTGACGAGAGTTTCTCTCTTTAATAGAGAAAGGCAGACCCCTCGGATACGCAAGTGTAGAGTCATATGATGTTCTTGTAGTCTGAAGATCTTTACCATTTACCAGCAACAATATGTAATAGGAGGAAGATATGGATGCTCAATAAATCAATAATAGAAATCTTCTTTCAAATAGAAAAAAAAAAAGAAAAAGAAATCTTGATGCTTTTCACATATGAACTGTTTTTTATATGCATTTTATTATTGTAGTACTTGCCATAAAAAAAAAAATCATCGTAGTACTTAAATAATGTAGGAGACTTGAGAGAGGGAGAGACTCAATGGATATATCTATCCTTTCAGAATCAGATGGGACGGCTCCATAGTCCATTGCAAATCCTGATTAGCTGGAACCATTAGCCGCGAAGATAACCATGAAAACAACTGGGCTCTGTCCTCTTTATAAATTTATTGGTTGAGATCTAATCTTCATACTAGATTCAGCTGCATGCATATGAACGGTTAGGGCTTGGGTTACACCTAAGGTTTTTGAATCGCCGTTGATTCGGACACTCGGACCGTTTGGCCTGGGAATCGTTCATACAATCGGTTCTATTTTATTTCAGATTCAGGTTTTGGTCAAAAACCGTTGAAAAAGTCAATAATTTGTTGATCTAGGTGATCAAACTGTCGATCTGTTCAATGGTTTTAATCGTTTTTTATTTTTAATTTTTTTGTCAGAACCAAGGTTTTTAAAAACCAACCGGTGACCGAACTGGTCAGAGGTCCGGTTACCGATTCAAATGGTCTGACCGTTCGACCCGAACGGCCGGCTCGTTCTGACAAAAAAAAAATAAAAAAATTGGAAAATGGTCAAAACCAAAATCAATGGTTTTGGGGGAAAAATCGGTTTTGAAGGAAAACGGAACCGATTAGGTGACCGCTTCCCGGTTTTTCCAGTCCGACCATCCAATCTAATCCGGTTTTGAAAACAGTGGTCAAAATAAGCTATTTGTTCAAACCGAATGAACCATCCATTCAAATCGAACAATCGGACTGTCGACATAAAAATTGGTGGCCAGAATGATTCTATTTCCGAGTCTTTTTTTAAAACGTTGGTTACTTACACCAGTTTGGCCCGTCTTTTTTCCCAAGGACCTTGGCTCTTATGTTTTGGATGGGGCAAGATCTTCAGTCCTGGTCTGAATATGGATCAGATAGAGAGAGACCATTATAAAAGTTTAGAAAAAGCAGAGGATAGCAGAATGCTAACCACCTGATTCGAAATATTGGTGTAATTTGAATCCAAATTTGGTCGAGAACGCAATGCTCAGGGTTATATTGGTTGTAGGGATTGATATGGGGCCAGTAGATTCTGTTTGTCTCTCAATCTTCCAATCTGTATTCACCCTAAAATCCGTATTTAATATCTAATACATAAAGTTTATATGCTTTTTAATAATACACGGGTTGGGGAAGATTGTGTTTAGCCTAATATCATATCTTATTTGTTTCTGTTGTGAATAAAGGGGAATCGTCAAAATCAGGGAATCATACATGTACATGTATAAGGCTTATACACAAGAGAGGGACACCACAAACAACCCAAAAACTTAAGCTATTGGGTTATAGGCCACTCTTGTATATAAAAGACGACTTGATTCATGTATCCATAAAAGGATTTCAAATTGTGAACGTAGATATTAATTGGTTCAGCATTGGGCCACACTAAGACTAAAAAAGGTGGGTTTTGGGTTATTATAATTAATTGAACCATTTTGTACCAGTAATGTCTATGATATGAATCCATTATTTTTGTCATTTTTCTTAGAAAGTTTAGTAATAGAAAAAGAGTAATGCCTAAATGGTTTGCTCTTTTTCCTTTCTTTTTTCCTATTCCTTTTTTACTCAAATGGTTTATTGATTCAAGTGTGTGATATTGAATGTCAAGGCAACCATGCATCTAATTTTTATTTTAGAAAATGCTCGAAGGCAGATCCATTCAACAATTTCTCAGTTACACCAGATTGTAAAGAAGTCATTACAAACCAAGTGAGATGAAAAACAAGACAGAGCATGTTTAGCAAGTCTATGGGCATCCCAAACAAATGTAACTGAGTCATCTTGAAGGTAGGATAGGAATCTCTTACAGCACTAGAAATTCCAAGAGAAGAGGCAAATGTAAGGCTTTCCAAAAGAGCCCAAGGAATTAAGAGGGCGTTCTTTTTCTAGATTTTGAGAGGAGGGAATGTTGGTCAATGGGAATCAAATTCCCATTGACAAAGAATCCCATGTTCTTTGTTCAGAATTATGTGGAGACTAGGGAAAGTTTATTTTCCTAGGTAAGTGATACCCATCTCTTAGGTAGGTAAATAACTTTTCCACCTTGAGGGAAAGTTGTCAACACTTGAATAGGACAAAATTGTCTCTTGTAATAATGGATTTTTTTGACTAAAATGACCATCGCCTTATTTTACATGGGAAATAAAAGAAAATGGATAAATGCACTTACCTGGGTAAGTCTTTCCTGTAAAACACTTGCCTAGGTAAGTGCATTTACCCGAATATATAACTTACCGAAAAGCCAACGGGGCCTAATTAGAAATCTAAGGAAAATTATGGACATTCCTTAAAGAGCAGGGGCAGAGCCAGGGGAGCCATGCCCCCCCCCCTATGATTCATAAACTCTCCAATGAGAAACAGCTTTCCCTGTAAATTTTCCTCTCTTTCCACTCTCCATCTCAATGGTTGGCCCCCTATCAACCCATCCATACTTCATTTATGTTTTGGCCCCCTTATAACAATTTACTGACTCCGCCCCTGTTAAAGAGTCAATAGTTGCATCCTGATTTTCAAGGACAACTACACTATAATTATTATGGTAAATGGACTTAGTTCCCTGTGCAACTTTTTGCAATGTTCAGTTCATTGTACTTTTATATCAAGGACAAATAACATCTTCCATCCATCACCATGCAATTTATAAACCCATGTGCTAGTCATTTATATTGTCAGATAATTTTTTAAATCTTAGAATGTCTTTCTATTTACTCATTTACTTTTATTTAATATTATTTAAGAAAAGAAATCTATGAAGCCGAGAAGACATGATATAGGAAGGGAATTGATCAATCAAATTCTCTCGTGAATTTTGATGAAAATCCCCTTACCTGGTTACCATCATTTTGACGTTGGTTGATTGATTATAAGTTTTCCCGGTATTATGTGTCTTTTCGGCATCATGGTCGATCAAACCCATTATTTAAAAACATAATTTTAATCATAATCTTTTTTGACTAAAGATCTAGATCATAAACTCATGTTTCAAATTAGTCAACCAACCAATGGTGGTTCAGTTGGCAAGTTCAAACAAACAAACAAAGTTGAAAATGTAACTGATTTACTATGTAAGCGCTATAGAAGTAGTATGGTAAACAATGTATCAAATTAATCAAATTCTCAAAATAAAAGCAATGCATATGGTGCATTGAATCAACCCAAGGATCTAGCCCATCAAAATGGTCTCTTAAAATCACTGCCTTACGTGGCGTTTGATAACGTTTTTCAGAGGTCTGGTGTCTGAAAAACTTGCTTTTCAGACACACCAGACCTGTTTGGTGTTGCTTTTGAAAATTGGTCTGAATTTTGCTTTCAAATTTGAAATTGAAAGCTCGTGGCTTGGCTCTTAATGCGTTTAGACATGTTTCAGAGCTAGCACAAAGTCGAAAATACTCCCAGTAATTTTGAAATGACACAATTTTGCCCCTGTTTAACCCCAAACCTAAAAACCTAGCTCATTTGTGTTGCCTCTCTCGAACGGGAAAGAAGATCATTGTTGCTCGTCTAAAGATTGTTCCAGGTATGTTTTCATGGCCGCAACTCTTTCTTCTCTCCTTTTTGCTTCCTCGTTGTCACACATCTGATTTCACACTGTATTCTTCATTTTCTAGGGGTTAAAGTAGCATCCTCACTCTAGATGCCTAGCCAACGATTAACAAGCGACGAAAGTATCTTCTTCTTCTTCTTCAAACGTCTGTTCAAAGGAAACCCAGTTCATATTTTTGATTTATTTTGATTTGTTTATATTTAAATATTTTGATCTATTTATAGTTGTTTGATTTGTTTGAGATAGACAAAACTGCATTTTGATATGTTTATCATGGTTGTTTGATTTGTGTATATTTATTTTGATTTGTTTAAGATAGATAAAGTTGCATTTTTTTATCATGGTTGTTTGAGATAGACCAAGCATAGTCCTCCTCAGAATTTGAGAGGTGCCAAGCTTCATATTTTTATTAATTATTAATTATTAAATATTATTTTGAATTTGATAAATTATTTTATATGAAATAGTACAAATTGAACTCAAAATTACCAAATAGTCTATTCTAGGGGTTAAATAGTAAAATCAGGAAATTTCATATGTTAAAGGTTTGATCCAACACAAACAACCATATCTATTCAAAGCCTCTAAAAAGTAGGAAAGCATCTATACCTCTTTTCAGATTTCAAATACCTTTAATATTTTTTTTAGCTTTTCACACTTCAGATTTCATATTTATCAAACGCCACCTCAGTCTCAACCATCCAAATGATACACTAACATTCAACTAATATCAAATCCATCCAAATGATACACTAACATTCAACTAATATCAAATTTATGGATGCATAGTTGCATATACATACATGTATTGATAGGCAATACACATACACAAGCACTTATAGGTATAAATATATTTATATAGTAATTATATATGAAAATATGAAGTTAAGTTGGGGTTGGCCAAGTCTTCAACCCTAACCTAACCTAAAATAAAGTCAGGTTCATACCTTTTAACCCTAACCCTAACCCAAACTTCAACCTAACCCAACCCTATTTTTTTTGGGCTAGGTTAGGTTTGAGTTTAGGGAGGTCAATTTTCCCCATCCCCGATGGGTATCTGACTTCTCCGACCCAATGGGGTTAGGGGTGGGGATTGCTTTGACGGGGCAAGGATGGGGATGGGGAATGAGGTCCCTTCTCTACCCCGATTATATATATATATGTGTGTGTGTGTGTGTGTGTGAATATGATATTATTACTGATGAGGGCGGATTTGGCCCTCCAATGACATTGTGACATGTGGCATCTCGGAACAACTAGGTGACATT